CCACACGGCCTCTGCACTGCAGAGTGCTACCAGTGGCCATTCCTCCATGGCTCTCTTGTTCTATGCTAGTCTGGCTCCTCACCAAGCTCCAAGCAACGCCTTGGTTTTCTGTAATGAGGCGAAAGCAGAGCAGGTTCAAGGACACAGTCAAGCTCACTCAGAGAAGGAGCTGGGATTTGAACCCAGGGCCCTGACTCTCCCACAGCACCTTGAAGGTATCCATGCAAGCTTCCCTTGAGATGACTCTAAATCCTCACTTATAACCCAGCTTCACCCTTTCCATCCTTCCTTGGAAAGAGCTGGAGGGAACTTTTGCCTCCAAATGAAAACAAAACGCTTTAGGGACAACTCACCACCTAACACAATGACCCCACTTCTGATATCCTATACAAGACACCCTGGCTGTGGCTGCTGAACTGGTCTTCACCCCTGTTCCCTTCCTGTAACTCTTCTTAATGTATATGCCTCAGCACCCTCAGAGCTTCTCCCCTGCAAGACCTCCTCCAGGGTAGCTGTCTCCATGACCCTGCCCTAGTCTGTCTTCCTCATAGAAGCAGCCGCCCAGGCAGGGCTGCTCCCCCTCCCTTCTGAACAATCTAAGTTAGCTAATCCTTTGTCAGTGGAGCTGCTGTGGTTAGGAGCGTCTCTGGTCTCTGCTCTCCAAACACCACATGTACTCGCTCCCACTTCACCCCCTTACTCCACTCATAACTCGAAATGTCTCCCCGAGGCATAAACCCCCCCATTGAGAGCCACAGCCATACACCATTGCTCCAACACGCCCGCCATTCCGAAGCCCCAGTAGCTCACCAACCTGTCCTGGAGGAGTTTGTAAGAAGGAATTCACTTTTTAGAGATTAGGAAGTAAGAATTCCTACTTGTGGGGCTGGAGAGATGGCTCAGGGGTTAAGAGCACTGGCTGCTCTTCCAGAGGACCTGGGTTCAATTCTCAGCACCCACATGGTGGCTTACAACCATCTATAACTCTGGTTCTAGGAGATGCGACATCCAGTGGCCTCCTCTGGCTTCAGTGGGCACTGCATGGGCATACAGGGAGACGATAATAATAAACATTTTTTAAAAATTAAAAGAGAAATCCTACTATGATTTCTTTTTTCCTTGAGATTTGGGCTTAACTCCCTTTGCGCTGGGGATGAAAGTGCACAGAGGAAAATGAGGCCCATGGAGGAAGAGCAAAGTCACCCCTGCTGACACGGAGGCTCCTGTGGCTGGAAGCCCTTGGAGAAGGTGAGGCAGACAGTGACCACCCATGCACTCTAGGGAGATGTTTTGGACCAGGCCCCCAGCATCCGCACCTCCTGATTCCAAGTAACTACATCCCAGTATCCACATCGGACAATGGGAATGAAAACTGACTCTCAAATTCTGATGAGATTAAATGAGCAAATATATAAAGCACCTGGAATGGAGCAAATAAATTAGAAACAGCAGCTAGCTGTCCCCAAACATACTCACAATTCAAGACTGCCACGTCTCCATTACTGTGACAAAACAACTGAGGTCTGTTTTGGTTTACGGTTTCAGAAGTTTGGTCCATACTCAGCTGGCTCTCTTGCCTTGGGGCCTGTGGTGAGACCACACATCGCCCTGGGGAGCATGTGGAAAAGCAGAGCTGCTCACCTCATGGAAGCCAGAAAACAAGAGAGGAGACAGCAAGGGTCTTCCTCAACGTGGCCACACCAGAGACCTAACTTCCTCCCACCGGGCTCCACTGCGAGCCATCTGCCACTGCTCAGGCTAGCAACTGAGCCTGTCACATACAGACTCTGGTCCACAGCACGGTCAGAATGAGTCTTCCCTGCCAGTGAGCACAACCCAGGCCTGGCCCGGCAGCACTTCCGCTCATAGTCTGTGCCCTGAAGCTGCCACCTTATATCCCCACTGTTGAAACTCTACCCGTTTCTCATGGCCTAACCACAAAGTCACCTCTGTCACAAAGCATTCCCTCTTCAAACAAGTCAGGGCCCATCTCTTCCACTCCTGAACCACACAACACTTAGACAATGTGCCCAGCATCTTGTGTCCCCATTCGGACTGATAGGATTCCTTCCTGGATAAATATCCCAACCCCCAATTGGCCTATCAAAGAGACGTGGACTCTGGCATACTACCCTCACACAGTAAATTCTCAGTGATTCCAATGTGAATCTATAGACAAAGTAACCAAGCAACTATTTCATATTTCTGTGATGTCTTGTCTGGCAGAAGCATTTTTAACACATCTACTGGACAGAGGTGGTTGTTTTTGCTGACTCATGCTAGTATCCACCATCCAGACTCATGGGAGACTGGTTCTGGGACCATTCCCCACCTAGATAGCAAAATCTGTGGATGCTCAAACTACTTGTGAAAACTAGCATAGTATTTGCAATGGGTCTATAGATATTCTCCTGTATATGTTAAATCATCTCTGCATTTCTATAAATGCCTAGTGCAGTCCAAATGTTATGCAAATAGCTATCACATTGTGTTGTTTAGGGGCTAGTAACAAGAAAAAAACATATACACATGCTCAGTTAAGATACATTTTTCCCCAAATATTTTCAATCACCTATTGATTGAATTCATAGGTGTGAAACTCATGGAAACAGAGGACTGATTACAAATAAAGCTTCCAAAACTCTCACCTTTTATTGTAAGGTTTTAAGCAAGACAAGCGTCATTTATCTGCTTTTCAACATGAATCTTAAGTGGTGAGTTGATATTCTCGGTGAATCATTAACTTCTTCAGTCTCAGCTTGCTTCTGGGTTGACTTTGATGTTTTCAACGGAGCGTTGGGGAAAAAAATGTCTGCTCTTAAGTGTGAAGGACCGAGTACAAAGGCCTCTTCATTACACCTGCCCCTGAGTGTCCATGAGTGTGGTCAGAGAAACCAGTGCACACCTTACTGTAGCACAAATAATAAAAACCCAGAGACAGATATTGGAGTTCAAGATGAAGATCAGAAAAGCAAAGCAGCCAAACCGCCAGAGAGCTCTTCTCGGCCAAGGCTGGGATGATCCTGTCTTTAACGTGCTGGAAACTAATTCCCTAAGACTGAATGCCAGCTCTGAGACCCTGCTCCTGTCTTACACACCTCCCTAGTGCAGGGATTAGAGGTGTGTGCCACCTCCTCCACCACCCGACTGTATGGCTAACTAGTGTGGCTGCTGGGATTAAAGGTGTGTGCCGCCACTGTCTGGCATCTATGGATGTGGCTAGATTTGCTTTTTGATCTCCAGATAAGCTTTATTAGATCATAAACAATACATCACCACACCATATCACAGCCCTCCTGTCGGGTCTCTATGCCCCAGAGTACATGAACTCCACTAAGATCTGGAGCCAACAGGTGTAAATTCCTTAAATCGCAATGTTTAAGCTATTTTATTTTCTGCAAAGGCCTCCAGAACCCACTAAGAATGGCTTAGAATCAGCCAGTTTGTCCAGTCAATGGCCTCTGGGAATCATAAGTTCAAACCTGCCCCTTCCCCACTGTAGAAAATAACTAGCCAGGAAGAAAACCGGCCATCTATGAAGAGGCATGATAGCTGCCTCCATGGGTAAAAAAGAGTCCTGAAATCCCTTACCATCCGCTCAACAAGCAGCTTCCCCTCTCACGGGCTGTAAATTCCTACGACTAACCAATGGGGGAAGTGGGATTGGGCTCCTGACATCCCTGCTAATCATCTCAAAGTAGATTTTCTTTCTCTCCTTAAAAGCTGAGGTCACATCATTGCCTTCCAGACACACCTGGCAGTAAATCCTGGCTCCGAGTCACTAACCTCAACCAGTGTGTGGCTGGAGACGGAGCCACCAATGGTGCTCTTGGCAATGCCCAAAAGGGCCAGTCACACCAACCAGCCTTGGAGGTCAAAGGTGTACTGGCATTACTCAGCAAAGCACGAGGCCGATGTGTCCCCTAGAAATAGTAGGCACCTTCCAGAACTACGAAGGGAAAGCAGCACTTAGCGGCTCCCACACATGTGGAATGCATTACCCAGGAGATGGGGTCATGTAAACAAGCTGTCCAGCCTGCGCAGGGCTCATGTTCCAGGCCCTAGCAGGAAACTCCTCCTGTGTTGTTCCCAGCTGTCTGAAGGAAGAAGAATGATGCTATGAAGACGTCTCCATTTGAGGGAGGTCATGAGGATTCCAGTGGCAGCTCTTTCACTCACTAAGCAGCCAAGATGCCACAACCCACCCTGCTCCCAAGACTCATTTCCTCACCGGCATCACATGACTATGGAGGCACAATGCTTTAATACCTCAAACCCAAAAAGGCTGGGTTGAGACGACCACAGATCTCCATGGTAGAGACACTCGTTAGGTTCCTAATATTCATTACAACACCCGGGGGTTGGGGAGGGGAGAGGAAAAAAAAACAGGCAAATCCAGCTTTCTTCATATTCAATGAAACCATCAGTTTATAGCACTGGAAACGGCAGCATAATCATAGTTATAAACCTGTAATGCTTCAATATGTCACCACAGCATGCTGAATTACAGAGATAGTGGAGACAAAAGTGTCGCTTTTGCCTGTTTATTGGAATATTTCTCATACTGTCCACATTTTCAAAGAAAAAAATATGAAGATGAATATTTCCACGCGTTCTCTATCAACTTGGGATTCAGGAACCTGTCCATCATTCATCTCCGACTCTCCCACCCTGCCTCTGGCAGCGCCTTGCACATAACAGCCTCATGAAGGTTTGTAGACGGCCCCACCTGTTCTAGATCTATCTACTCCATTAACGTTTAGAGAGGCACTGTTTGATGGTGGAGGAGGTTTCTGAACTGCAGTCCTTACCCCTGCCAGGATGGGTCAGGATGAAACCGCAAGAGCAGCTCTCTCTGACGGTTTCTCGGCTGGACCCCTCTTCTCCCAGGAGACCCCCAAACCTATGTATGGTAAACGTAGTTAAGCACAAAACCTCTAGAGGAAGGCAATCACAGGGAGAAACCGCTTCCCGGTGCCTTGAAGACCGCTCCCTTCTCTGCATGACGACTCTCTCTCCTCTCTCTGAAGCTTGGCCATAGTTTCACTCTAAACGGTTTGTTCTAAACTATGGAATTTTAAAGCCCCCTTCTCATTAATGAACTCACA